AAGAGGAGTCAGGGAGCAGGAGAAAGCCAGGCAGATGCTGCTGTGCCTGCAAGTTTCTGCCAGAGCTCTAGCCAGGGAGCAGAGGGGAGGGGACAGCCCTGCTGTGGAACAAAGAGCCCCACCTAGCCCAGAGAGCATGCAGGGATGCTGGGGGAGTCTGGTTTATCTTAAATCAGCAAGGGATCTGGGACAGATATTGCATAAACCGGTTTGAGCCAAGTCAGTTAAGTCTGGTATTACATTCAACCACGTTTATCTCAAACAGGTTTCAGCCACTTTCAAACTGGTTTATGTGCACTGAACATCTGTTACAGTTTTAAACCAGTTTCTGACCGCTTAAACCAGTTTGTGTGTAATGTCTGTCCCTAGCCTGAGAAAATAAGATAAATGGCATGCATGCACACACACAATTCAGTCTCAGCTTGAAAATGCAAAACCTCCTCCTGACAAACTCAGTACTCTGGAAGCATGATTCTGTAACACAGCCATTCAAGAGTAATATAAATAGTTCCATCATGCTTCATGCTTACCAAGCCAGAACATGACAAAGGACAAGAGAGTGTAGTTCTTCATAATCCAAGGAAGAGATGACCACTACCTGTCTACCTCTCCTTTAGCTCTAGAGATTCAGCCACATGTGCCATTAAGTCACCTCCCCCATGGCAAGATCATATTGCAAGAGCTGAGGCTAAATAAGGTACTGACAGAAAGAAATTTAAATCCTCACCAACACCAGGCAAAGCAGAGCAAAATGCTGAAATACATATTCCCGTGTGTGCAGTTTGCTATGCTCATTGACAGGGCACCATATGGAGTCAGGAATCCTCTGTCCTGCCCCCTGTGTATGATTTGTGCCCCATCTGTCAAATGAATCTTTTTTATAAAATGCAGTGACACCTACACAGGGAAAGCAGTTATGAATTCTTTTTATTTTGATCCCATGTCCAGGATCCTACATGGGGCGTGGTGTTGGCAAAAAGGTCCTGACCTGACGTGCTTATAGTCTTATAACAGACACCACAAATAGATATAACAAACTAAACCAGGGAAGGGGATTGGGTGGCAGATGGGCTGGCTGGGGCATGCCAGCTCCGGCCACTCACCCTGAGCACCGCCAGCTCCGGCCACTCACCCCGGCCCCACACAGGCTACTAAAGTGCAGGGCTAGGTATCAGGCAGCCCCTGCACTTTAGTACCCTCATGCCCCAGCCAACCTGTCACCATCTACACATGTGTTTCAGCACATGCAGTTACTCTGCTGTAGGAGACAGTACTATCCTACAGTGGAGTAAATTTACTGCTCCCTAATACCTGCTCATGTGTAGGCAGTGATGCTTTACTTCTGAACTAATTAGTCAGCTCTGCAGTAAAAAACACATGTAGATGCACCCTTTGCAAGTTAGGCTGCTTCTCTCCATGCCTACCACAGAATCCTCACCATCCCACAGACATTGTGGAGGAGATGGAAGTAGCTGAACCATATGAAAAGATGATTAGGGATGCATGAGGGAGCTGGATGAAGGGCTGCACCTCTTGAGTTGCTATGTCTCCTACAGTTTATCCTGGAGGCATGTGACTCCACAGCGTTTGCAATATCATAACATGTACATTGTTGTCTTTAGGGAACTGTGGTGCTTAACTTAAGGTACTCTTAGGTGGCCTTCTAAAGTTACCAAATTTCCTTGATGCTTCTTTTTTCTTAAAAATAAGATAAAATTATATACCAACAAGTATTTGCTATCAGACGATTCTCAGCTTTGCCTTCTGTTTCAGATAAATTATGAAGCTGTCCATTCTTGGTGCAACAGGTCAGTCTGGTCAGTATCTGGTCTTGCAGGCACTTGAGGAAGGCCATGAAGTGACAGCACTTGTTCGGAACATCACTAAACTGACTATTCAACATAAAAATCTGAAGGTATTTCATATAGAATATTATGTCTGATACTATTTTCCTAGAACTAAGGTTTTCTAATGTCTCTAGTGATTTAGGGTGTCTCAATTTTAGGATACCAAACTTGACCTCTTACAGGAGTCATTTTTCAGATGGTGTGTGCTTAGCACATTCTGAAAATTGGGGCTCCTTTAAGCTGTTTCAGTTTGGGCAACCAGAAATGGAAGTGGTAAGATTCACTGGTATCATTTTAAGGATTTTGGCCTAGATATTTAATATACCGAAGATACGCTTTATCTTCTATTCTTACATTGTCAGTAAATCCAAAAGTCTTTCCATTAAATCCCATGGTCTTTGGATCAGTTTCTACATAGCAATTCAGGTTGGCTAACTGACTGTACAAAAAATATTATCCTGCCCACGTATGACCTATAGGCTATGTGGCCTAGCTGCAACCTTTAGCAGCCAGTCTGAACACCTGTAAATTTCTTCCCTATTAGAAGCTCCAATCATATTTTCTCAACCAACATTTCTACAGCTCCATGAGCACTAACCAGTGTCACATTTAACAAAATAGCTTGGAAAAGTTGTATATATAGTTTTATGAAGGTAATATATTTTGATGACTTCAAAGATTTAAATTAACTTGTGTGTAGGAGCTGAATGGGGAGACGTGATAAAGGCCATGTACTCATGGTGTGACAACAGCCTCAGTTCCCATTGATATTGGGGAGGTTGACAGCAGTCAGCAACTCTCAAGGGAAGATCACAGGATTGGGCTGAATGTCTTAAGAGAGAGCCTTACCAGATCTCTTTATTGCTTTCTTTTTTTGTAATCTAAAGGAGTCCTGGGCAAACAATGGAGTGAAAATATTCTTAAGGTCTCCCCTAGAGCCTGAGCTAGACAAAACTTTAGTATTAGTAGCCTTCTGAAGTCTACCAAAGGAACGAAATATTTTTAGTGGGTCTACTGCCCTCTAAATGAATGTTGAGCCTGGTGAATTCACTTCTCAGTGTTTCAAGTAGTAATTGACCAAAGTTGTCTGCTCTTGAGAAACACCTGTCAGAGTAGGAATGAGGTTCTGTTCACTTTTTAAATGTATCCAATCTCTCTCTACAGTAAACCAGCCCAGAAATATCACAGCACTTTCTGAAATGAAAATACTATAGCCCACAGATATGTTTAATCTAATTCCCGTCTCACATACTACTACAAAATAATTTACCTATGTGAAACAGAACTGTCTGACCCCATTAGGTGGCAGACAAGATCATTTCTAAAGCACACCTCCAAGGTATAGTAAATACTCTTCTTTTCAAGGCAAGCTAGAGGCTGTAGCACAGAGGGGCAAGCTTTAGGTCCCTTGTCCTGAAATAAAAGCACATCTTAACTTCTAAACAGAAGTAAATCGCTAGTTTTTGGCTAAAGTGTATTTATCTCTCCAGTCTCTGATTCCCATCCCCAGACCACACATACCACCCAACAGGTTTAGCATAACAAAAACACAGAAAAAGCACTTACCAAACATAGTTGGTATCAATGACTCCATCACTGATGCAGTGAGAATTAAGGCCTAAAATATAGCAGAACAATCTGTTTGGGAATACTACTTCATCCTACCACACATGCACAAGATGGATTATCAGTTCTGTCAAGCTTTAGAAGACTTCCTGGTTTCTGAGACCAGATGCAAGAAGCACACACCATTCCCTGCCTCTCCAATTTTCTGTTCAACTTGTGTTAAGTAATATGCCCAGCTGGAGACAGTTATGCAAATAACAGCCATGAGGTTTCAGCCATCTGATAAACTGTGAAAAAGCAGCGGCCTCACTTTTAAGCAGAAAATGGATGATAATAGCTCTATCAGCCACTGGCTTTCATAGAATTCATAGATTTCATAGATTAAGGGTCGGAAGGGACCTAGTAGATCTTCTAGCCCGACCCCCCGCCAGGGCGGGAGAACAACAAAAAACCCCAAAAAGAG